TTTTATTACTAAATTATCAAGTAAGAATTATTAGAATTATTTTAAATTAATTAATTAATTTAATTACTATTTATTAAGTTTGAATTTAACCTGAAAGACATGTTGATAAACAAAACGGACTTCACACAATCAAAATATATTATAATGAACAAATTATAAAGTTTTAAACAGCTAATCTTACAAATCATAAAATTTAACTTAAACATCAATGTCAGGCATTGGAAATTTAAAATATAGTATATTTTTTTAACAATCTGTGTGTCATATTTCGAGTAGTGATGGGCTTAATGAAGATTTTATTCGTTATTGGCATTTACAATGTTTTTATGAAACTCACCTCTACCCTCAAAAAAAAAGCTTTTTGCCACTTTATAATAATTAAAAACATCGTCTTTTAAAATAAAATGCTATAACAGATGGCGATGCATACAATTTTTAACTCTTGCCGAAGTTCGCAACTCGTTGGTGAATTTTTTCTATTAGTTCTCTAAGTTAAACATGACGAATACGTTTTCCTTATATTGAACTTGCTAAAGTCATAACACGCTAAAGTCTAATATAAGAAGAGCTATATTTTTCATATTTCTCATATGATAAGGTTTATCAAAAATCACACAGGTAGACCTACTTTTATTAAGAGAATGGTTTTATCAGAAACAATTGTGAAACTTGTTTATTTAATTAAATTTCAAGAAATGTATTTTGAAAGTTTAAAAAACATATTGACTTTCTTTCGATTGAATATAGAATTGACGAAATGAAAAGTCGTGTTAAAGTTTTATTAAAATTGATATACGTAGTAAAATTAATTCGTTGTTTATTCTATTCAAAAAGGGAATTGAAAGAATGTTATCAATTATTTTTTACCAATACTTTTTATTTTATTTTCTATAGAATAACTTTTTGTTTACACTTAGTTTCTTAATCCCATCTTAATCCCATCCATATTTATTTTCATAAATTTTTTTCTAAAATTACATTTAAAATATTATCCGCTTTCTTATCATATTATTAAAAAATATTTCAATTTGAATTGAATTAAATTATTTAAAAGTTATTTCTAAAATTATTTTAATATTTTATCACTTTCCTATTACATTTTTAAGTAATGCTTTTAAGCTATTTGTAACGAAATGAGCTATAAATGCGCTCTTGATAAATATAAAAAAATCCTATAAAATTAAACGTTATGAATAAATAAAGATTTTACTGTCCATTTTGTTTTTCTTTGGCATTAAGGATTAAAACTTAATATTACCTGGAATATAAAATTTTGAAGAATGCAAATCTATAACGAGATAGTAAAATCAATTTGTACCACTTAGTGTATAGACTTTTCAATATAATACAAAAGATGATATAAAGAAAGTGCTAAAGTAAAAAGTAAAAAGAAAACGGTTTGGAAACTACAAAAATTCTTTAAAACTTAATTAAGAAAAAAATGTTTGCTGTTTATTCTTATCTTCTTGGAAAGCAATTTCCAATTAATGATAATTCGAGTCTTCTAGCTTCACCAAAAGCCTTACTATTTCTTAAGTACTTCTTCTAAGTCATTATCACCTGTAATGAATAAAATAAATTATTTTAATATCTTCTTGATACATTTTCTTACTTTGTTTTCCAGTGAAAACCAGTTTAAGAAGTAATTAAACTGTGTGTTCGGCCACAATAAAATGTAAATCGGCCACAATAAAACATTATATTTATTGTACTAGTATTAATACGTATAAAATAAATATTTTTCACGCAGAGGAGTTTAAATTAATTTAGCTTTCAGGCTTTTGATTTAACTTTTTTATAAATTACACAAAAATATTTGTCCTATTTTAGATATTTTTATTTATTATATGTACAATACGTCATATCAAGCCAAGTGCAAACCATGCAAGTAAATTTACCATGCAAAGCAAAAGACATATTACGTGATAGTCTCGCTCCAGTAAATCTGACATTCGTGGGGAAAAGTTTAGATGGACTTATATAAAAGTTTTGGACTTATATCTCTTTCTATTATAGAAAGACCATACAACATAGCAAGATATTTTAACTATTTGTAAAAAAAAAATCATATTAAAATACGTTAAGAGAGACTTTCTATTGTAGTCTTATATAAATTTTTGTAAATTAAAACGTATAAAATTATAAAAAATAAAAAAAATCTACCATAACTTAACTTTGAAACATATTAATTAAGGCCAGATGTCTATAATATTTATTAATAAATGAACGGGGCGAGACAGAAAATCTGAACTGGGTTTAAAGCATTATAACTTTTGAGCTCAAAAAATAATTTTAAAATTTTCACGCCAAAAGTTACGTCATTACATACGCTCAGTTACAGCACGTGAAGTTTTAGAGCATTTGTAAGTCAGTTCGGAAAAATTGCTTCAAAAGAGGACATATTAAGAGAGCGCGTTGTACAAATGTACGAAAATAAATCGAACCACTAAAAGAATTGGTGGAGGAGCATTATTTTATCCGAAGGCCAACTACTTATATTTTGAAAAAACATAAAATATCTGGAGCGAGGAAAAGAAGGCCCGGAAGTGAAAAAAGCCAGTTGTTATGAATGATAAAAACCGAAGAGAAATGTTTGGAAACAAAGATGCACTTAGCCAGATGGAAGCAGATAAAAGGTTCAAATGTCATCGAACACACGTAGGTAAGACATTTAAGAAGTTGGGCATAAAGAAAAGGAAAAGATGTCCCCGGAGTACACTGCAGGAAATAAAAATGAAATCCGAATGCAATGCAGATGGCTTGGTAAGAAAGTTTGGAAACAAAACGTACGTTTTGGACGACAAGAACTACTTTTTTCTCTCCGGCATGCAAATGCCAAAAAATTATATTTACTATGTGAACAATGGAAATCATGCATCTCCTGAAGTGAAGTATAGATTTAAGATAAAATTTAAAGCAAAATACATACCGTACATCATCATTTCACCAGCAGGTGTTTCGAAGCCGTTTTTTAAAAGAAGAGATCCTTGGCAATTGATGCCGGCACGTACCAAAACGAATATTCACAGAAAAATTGGAATTTTTTTTTTTACAACAAGCATTATTAAAATGATGATTTCATAATTTCATATTTTGGCCTGACAAAACTTCGTCTCACTACGCAAATTCGATCGTGGAGTTCTCTAAAGCCAAATCATTCCTTTGTACCCAAAAAAAAAACATAATTCGTCAAATCTGCCACTATGCAGGCAAATCGAAGATTTTTTTGCATATTTGGCACAAATATTTTTTAAAAGAAAGATTGGCTAGCAAAAAATATCACAAAACGTATCCAAAGAATTGGATTTTTACTTTAAAAAATTGATACAAAAACAATTAAAGGAGTTGCGAGATTATCAAAAACACAATTACAGTGCTAGTCGACTGTGGGCCATATGAACGTGTTCGTTAATTTTCTACTAACGTAAATAAAAACTTTTAAAAAATGATATATAATATTTAATAGTTACTTCAATTTTCCGGTAAAATATTTTACTTTAAAACCAGACCATACCTTTTGTTTCAACCTGTTACGTAATGTGTTTCTAACTTACAATTTTTAGCAATATATTTTGAGAGTTCCTTTCGTCTAAATTCAATCCAATTTAGGCTTATTTTTGTTGATTAACTCTGTTTCAAATCATAAGCATGTTGCACTTTGCGTTGCTATACAAAGACTTTTATTGGCATGTTACGAAATCAAAAGAAACTGAAAACTATATCTTAAATCAAAATATTTACTGTAGAATCTTTGTAATTAACCGTTATTACAGAGGGTACAGTTTATATAGACTGCTTTCCTATAACGGACAGCAATTAATGTACAGTACTCATTCGTAATAAAGATTGTTAAAAGAGAAATAAATAAATATGCATCGGTTATTCAAAATCGCGAGTATTTTTACTACATCGGCTTCGACGTCACGCGGAAACACAATAATGTGGGCAACAATACTTTTCACTTTCTTTCTTGCGAGAGTGAGCGATTATCGAATGCGAAATATATTTTTCAGGTTTTCGGAATTATTTTTCGAGTTTATTTGTGTTTTATATAAAGGTGAGTAATATTTCTGACAGACTACACAATATTCTGTACAAATATATTTATAAAAATAGAATTACCGATCTCGAAATTTGTCATTAGGTAATCATAAGGTTCTTAAACTTAATTAAGAGCAAAGAACTAGAATAAGAAATTAATTTTGAGATAAATTTCCATATGTTAAACTGATTTTGAATAGAATATATTTTATCACGATGCAAACATGGACGAGGTTGATTAATAATNAAAAGTTCATTTTCGTCGGTTAGAAGCAAAATGTCTCTTTCGGAACTCTCTTCGGATTCTTGGATAAGTCCAGAAAATCCGGGAGCTACTTATAATAATGCATTACTACTTGTGGGAAAAACCTAAATTCTCATTATGTAACACTTTTGTATTTACATTGTCAATTATTTTTTTGGAAACCATAGAAGTTTCTAAAAGCGATTCCATTTAGAAACGGCTCTTGGATCCATAAAATAATGATGTCACATTAACATAAAAGTAATTTGTCTTAATAAAAAGTTCACATTACACATTAATTAATAATAAAATAATGAATATTCCTATTTTTGCGTGGTTTACTTGTGTGAGAATCCGCGGGTGAGAGTGTTATCGCTCTAAATTCTATTTGCGGCGTCGGGTTCGTGAAGCCCGCTCACTTTGTCACTGGATGGCTTTTACTCGTAATTTATGATAAGATCGGGAAATCACGGCTCTATTTTTTCCTGACACCAGTTCGGATAATTAGAATTCGCGTTCTAACTCGTGACTTACACAATATTCTGTACAAATATATTTATAAAAATAGAATTACCGATTTCGAAATTTGTCATTAGGTAATCATAAGGTTCTTAAACTTAATTAAGAGCAAAGAACTAGAATAAGAAATTAATTTTGAGATAAATTTCCATATGTTAAACTGATTTTGAATAGAATATATTTTATCACGATGCAAACATGGACGAGGTTGATTAATAATAATGAACATAAATCTTTACGAAAAATATACGCATGATTAATTTTGATATTATATCGTGTGATCATCAGCGAGATGACCTTCGATGGAACCGATCATTGACGATGAGAGATGGCGAATGACCCTAAGACAAATAATTGACGAGTTGTGTTTTTCAGATTTCGATATGGAGAGATTTTCGGAAGATGCGCAGATAAGTGCGAATGTGGCTAGAAAGCTGGATGAGGAGGATGATTTCTTCAGTTTTGACTTGGAAAATTACCAAGAAACTAATTATTGGGAAATTGTTCTCGATCTTGCCGAGGATTGTTTCGGCTATGGCGATTCTGATTTGCAACAAGTTGATGTTTGCTTTCGTTGCGATGGATGCGAGAATCCTCGGGTATCGTGTGATGGGAAAGTTGAGCTAGAAGCTGTTGGCGATTGTCTCGACAGGTAAGATTTTTATATTTATTTAATACGTATCTAATAGGTAACGTAATATTTTTATCTCATTTTCTGTATTGTTTATAGAAAGCTAGAGCTGCGTGAAGAACAATTTGATGATCGGGATGATTTCTTTGATTGTGACTTGGAAAGTTACCAAGAAACAAACTATTCGGATATTGTTCTCGATCTTTCCGAGGATTGTTTCGGCTACACCGATTCTCATTGGCGACAAGTCGATAAAAACGAATGCGAGAATCATCATCAGAAAGTCGAGCTGGAAGCTGTTAGCCATTGTCTCGACAGGTAAGAATTTTATGTTTATTTAATACGTATTTTTATATCATTTTCTGCGTTGTTTCTATATTAT